ATCACATGTCTCAACATTGGCCCCATTTAGATTTAAATCAAATATTCCACATCTAAGGTCGGAAAACCATGGAACAAGAAACATAATCTATTTTAATTTATAATGATATAAGCGCATTGAAGTTAGCGATACTGCTTTTAAAAGTTAATTATTAACAAAAATGAGTTATTTCGATAACTTACAATTTTATTAGAATTTAGCTGCACCCTGCCAAACAGTGGTTGCATTGATGTAATTGTAAAATAAGGAAGAAAACCGACGTGAAAATTGGATAAAAACAATCTTTGAAACGGGTTGTATATCGTGTCAAAATTTGAGCTCAATACGTGAAGAACTTTTTGAGTTTATGAAGCGTAAACAAACCAATTTAACATTTTAATCCATACTAATATTATAAATGCGAAAGTCTGTCTGTCTGTTATCTCTTCATATTTAAACCGCTGCACCGATTTTTTACGGCTAAACCACATAGGACCGATTTTTATGAAATTTGAAATACTCTGATTCCTGAGAAAGGACATAGGCTTCTTTAAAGCGATAATAATAAATAACCGACATAGACGGAGCTGCAGACAAAAACTAGTATATTTATATATAAATCATATTTATTTAGATTTTATTTTAGCCCGTAACAATCTCCATAAACATAGTCAATATCTTAAACAAGTCGCAAGTGAAACCATAGCTCGATTCGTTAATCCACTTGTAACTAAGTCAAGTGCACTTCTACATATAGGGAACAATCAATATTCCTAGCTAACAACATACGCGACTCACGATCGCGCAGCTCGATGAATATTGACGCGAATGTCCGTCAAAGTGACAATTTACTGGACACGACTTACTTACAAAGTGTATATGGCGCTTTAGTACCTCGTAGAAGGGCAGAAGTGTCATTTCGATTTGTGCATGTTATAATAAAAAATCTAAACAAAGAGGATAAGTCTAGTTATGTAACACGGTTTGAACTACATTACAACTGTAGGGTAATTCCGGGGGAGTTGGCCATAGTTTTTCTAAAACGGCATTAAAAAAAACTCTCGCACATTAGTACAAAAATATTTATTCGTAATTAAACTTTGAACAATTAACTTTGAGGATATGAGACTAAATAGGAACAATTATAACGAGATCACACTTAAAAGATTACTTTTTTTTAAATCACAATTGGCCATCTCTCCCGGAGTATCCTGGTGAGATGGCCATAATATTAAAGGTAAGATGGCCATACCTTATTCCTAGTTATTTTGGTAATTTTTGGTTTTCTTTTCCTTTTTCCCGCATTTTGAACACGAGTCATCGAACTCAGTGCAATACTCGTGCACCCAAAACTGACAAACTTTACACTGAAGCCAGTCTTCGATTAGCTGGGTTTCATAATAGTTTTCTCCACATCCGCGACAGTTATCCTCTTCGTTAGTTTTTCGTTTTTTAGTTTTCTCAGCTAAAATTTTTAAAGGAACATCGTCACTGTTATCAGACAGCTTTCGAATAACCTTTTTTTTTGTTCACAGTGCACTTTTTAGGTTCTTTCTCCTTTTTAATTTCTTTTTTTAATGTTTTTTCTGCAACACATTTTCTAGCATTGATATGTTCTTCTGAAGTCAATAGTGTACCTACTTGCTTTGCTCTTTTACGAACTTCAATAAGCTTTTGCGGAATAGGAGATATTTCCTGCAAAATCCGCGATGGAGTATAATTTGCAATGTTACCGGATGTACCTTCTTTTGGAGTGCTTGGTTTTGAAACCTTAGATACAGTAGCTGCATTCAATGAGGTTTTCGGTTTTCTGGGAACCATTTCAGGGCTATAGCGAGGGTCTCTATTTGGCTCATTTGAAGTACTTGGAATAAATACGTCATCATTATCTTCCACTGCAGAATTATTTGAGTGTGAATCCTTTCGTGAAATAGGAGTACTCGGCAAGTTGTGTATGGGGTCTTGAATATAAGCGTAGTCTGGGATTGCTTCTGGATTTAAAGGATATACTCCCGTTGCTCTAAAGCCAGATATTGCATTTTCCGCCGATGCTGCTTTTCCCCAAGCTCTGTTAAGTAAGGCTCCGAAAGAAAGTCTTGTTATGCAACGTCCTGAGTTTTGTTTCATCCAAAGTCTACACTGTTCATAAAAGTGAGTTTTTAATGATTTAAATACCGAACGATCTAACGGCTGGAGATAATGAGACGTGTGACTCGGCATTGATATCAAAATAATCTCATTCTGATGAGCAAACTCCAACATTTCCACGGAATTGCAGTGAGTTGAGTGTCCGTCAAGTAAAAGTACAACTTTTCCAGCAGGTTTTCTTGGGACAAAGTGGGTTTTCAACCATTCTAAGAATATTGCTGAAGTTATATACGCCGATTTTTGTGACATGAATAGTTTTGAGCCTGGAGGCAGACCATCTTCAAACTCAGCCTTTTTATTTTTGCCCTTCATAATACATGCCGGTGGCAAAAACGTGCCTTCAGCATTGCAGCAAGCTATGACAGTTATAGTCTCTCCTTTTTCAGTTGATGTTACTGTGTGAACTACTTTGGAACCTTTTTGAGGAAGCACGTGTCCTGGACGACTGTTTAATTGTAGACCTGTCTCATCCATGTTGAAGATGCAATTTGCTGGTAAAATCTCATCGTCTTCCATGAGGACTCTTTCAAGAAGATCAAAATATGCGTTTACCTCCGACCTATTCATAGCGTTGGCTCTAGCCAAGGAGACACCTTCTGACTTTCTTAATTTAATATCCGTGTTTCTTCTTAAAAACATTTTCAACCAGTCATATCCCGCTTTCTCAGTTTCTGTGTTAAATGTATGTTTTAACTTTAACTGTTCCGCGAATTCGTAAGCTATTTTTCTGACATCATCCATTGTCAGTGGAAAACCTTTGGCTTGCATAGACTTGATATGAGCAGCCAACTTTTTTTCATTTTCTTCCCCAAATAAAGAAGATGGCCCCATGGGCCCCTTTTTGTCATTATTCTTCTTTATTCTCCTTTCCAATGTTTTTCGTGGAATTTTGAACTCATTAGCTGCCGCACGTACGGATAATCTATCATTTTTGACAGCACTTATAGCAGCCTTGAGTGCCTCTTCTGTCCAATTTCCTCTTACGGCTGCAGCCTTTCTTTTGTATGTATTAGGCATCTAAAACAATTATGTAAATAAATAAATTATTTCAAGAAAACATCATTAGTATGCGGTCGGTGTATGATGGCCATATGGCCGTCTTATACCGACTCAAACTGGCCATCTCTCCTTTTCTTCCGGGTGAGATGGCCACACAAAAAAAATAAACAAGTAAAAATGTGATACGCATCATTTTGAGGTTATATCGCCACATTTTTTATGTACTTTGACATAAATACAAAAATAACCATTATTCTAAGAAACTGACATCACAATCATCGAAAACATTAACTCATTAAAAAATATACGCATAAGACAAAACAATTGACAAGGATTTTACTTACTTTTTGGATTTTTTTAGCCAAAATGTTGTTTCACGTTTGCTTACCCACACATCGCGAAGCGAACTAAATGGTAACTGGCGACATCTAGTCTACGTTCAATGAAATATTTCGATTGGCCATCTCTACCGTATGGCCATCTCCCCCGGAATTACCCTATATTGCAAAAGGCGAATTAAATATGATCAAATAAACATTTGACGTCACCGATTCTAGTAAAGTTCAGAATAATCAATGTTAAGAAGACTATTACATTTATGTATTCTACTGTCCAAAACGTACAACTTTTGTTAAAGTGATTAAGCGTTATTTTTCACTGAAACAGTTTACTAATATTATAGGTTTCTATAAGCGTCCATATTGCTGACTTCCATTTATTTATCACAATAATTAATTATCCCAATTATTACTTAGCTTACAAAAAACATCGTCATTTAATTATAGTATTTCTGTTGCTTATCTGCCAAACGACTCATTAATTAACTATGTATAACGTTTGTACTACAAAACGTGACAGAGGAATCCAATTAACTACACTTAGGTGTGAAATAGAAGCCAATTATTTTTTTTCTATATATGTACTAGTGTGATGCTTCGACGGCGCTTTTTAGTCGGTTCTGCATTTTAATAGATACGTAGTATAGGTACATTGTTTTGTAGATGATGATTATAATCGATATTCTACTCTTTTAAACTTACTGTAAAAGGTTATTTTTAAAGATATAAGAGGCAAGGGGGCAAATGGGTCAATTGGGCCTTAATTCTGCTTTTTTTATGTTGTATCAATAGACTGTCGATGGACGATGGAATAGTTTTGCCGTTTTCGTATTCTACTAACTATGTAAGCTCAATGGGCTCCGGATGACTTGTCACTGATACATGTCGTCGACGTTTTTTTAATAGTTTGGTAAACCGAACATTTTAAATTTGTAATAAAATTACATATTTAATGTTTCAGATATGGCAATGTTGTTGATATCACCATTGATGAGCCATTGTTACTACATCGACAGTCTATTGACACTGAAAATATGTTAGTAGAATACCGATATTATGACGGATGACAATGGCATTTCAATAACGTGTCAATGGAATGACTGTTAACATAAAATAGCAGAATTGAGGCCTTTGCTGGTAAGACTGATATAATCTACCGCCGCCAATGGACATTATCAAAACACAAGTGCGTCGAAAGCTTTTGAATTAGGAGTATGCTCTTTTCTTGAAGGTTTGGAGGTCGTATAGAAAGTAAGTTTCTCAAGAAATAATGTTTTGATTTTAAAATTCAGGAGCCTCATAATTAGGCTGAATATTCTGTTATGTTTGGTGATATCTTCCCCATTTACGACTCGTTAATTTTCTGTCCTTGTTTTTTGAAACCTTGTTGCATTTTATTCTCACGGCTACAGTTTTTCGTTTTTATTTTCTATACTTAAATTTTACATAACAAACAAATTGTGACAGCTTTTCAATAATTTGAAGAATAATATACAATATAGTTACATTATATGAGTTTTTAGAAAATATTTTTACCTTTTTGAGATGTTTGTTGACCCATTTCGTGAATGTCTTCTTTTGAATCGCGTCACGTTCATCTGAAAAAAGAGCATCCAATTAATATAAAACAAGACAAACTGTATCTATTTCATATGTTAAGATGAATAGATGAAACTACATCACGCAAGAACGACTAACCAAATCTGGATGAAATTTGGCACAGAGATAGGTTTTAGTTTTATTTATTCCAAAAATAAGACATCAACATTCGGCAGTTAAATGTGCATATTTAGAATAGGCGTAGTTTGTGTTATGTACAAGAAACCATTCCTATCAACATTCATACAACGTATTTAAAAATAAAGCTTGTAAATTAAGTTCTCCACGGAACCCCTTTTTTTCCCACCGGTGGATGATTATGTAGAACTCGAACCGAACAGCACGCCGTCTCGGGTACCAGTGGCCGGGGAACCAGGTGTACCGTAGAAAGAAAATACCTGGTACCCCGACGTATCTCGGGCCATCCACGGTGTGTAGATGACCCCCTTCCACGGTACCCCTGTATTCCACGGAAGCTACTTTAGGAACCGCTGATCTAAACAACAACCTTCACAAATTAAAAAAATCTTCACTGACACCTTTAAAAATTCGAACCTATTCTTGCTAGATAAAGCGACCGAATTAAACAGCTCTTACGGGTCAACGAACTTACTTGTATGGATTAACATTCTTATTTGGTCTATTAATATCTGTACTATTTTGGCGAGATGACTGTTGCCAAATTATTTGTGGATCGGAAGTACTGATGTATGAGAGCTGTCTACACTTTTTTTCGACTAGGATTGAATATTCGATAAACTAAAGCTTTTGGTTCGATATAATACCGCTCAGGATTTATTATGATAGCAAGTTTAAGGTGAGATCGAAGTCATAACAATTGTCAACTTTTTAATATTCGACTAACAGAAAATAAATAGTTTTGGCATATAAAGAACGATGTTCTGTATTTCTATTTGCTTACAGATTTGTTATCTTAGTAAACATTCATAATGTCTAAAATTAAGTAAGCATTTAGTTAAAACATAATAATAATTATGATTGGCAGCCCTAAAAGTACTGTGCACAGAACTGAATATTAAGTACGAATGCTATGCCTTCAATAATATTGTATAACATTTGGTATAACTTAGTTACTTTATTGCTGATCAAACCCGCAACAAATTTGGCTTATGGTTTATTTTTTTTTAGATTTTACTGGACTCATTATAGCTAAAGAAAGAAAGCTTCTTGAAGGAGAGCTCTACCACATCCAATTATAATTGTTTTCTTCTGGGAATACTATATACTCCAACTTTGGAACTAACAATACAAATATCAAAAGATCATAGATGGTAATGATCACAATAACGTTTCAATAAAGATAATTTAACATAATTATTATAGTATAATGTAAAAACATATCATTTTAGCGATCCGTTAATGTAGTAATGACAGTTACTAGACCAAAGCTAGATATAAAACAGGAAATGTGTCTTAGCATACCAGGAGAGAATGAGAGGGTGGGATGTCAGAAAGTGTACGTAACTGCTTGGTCAGAATGAGATGGAACATGTTTGCGATATCTTAATTAAGAGCGGCGGTGGGTCATTAAAACATTTAGCGTACCAGGCTGTCAGAAGTAACTAAGTAATGCGAACATCAGCTTAGGGATTATATGTCGTAATATAGAGGTGATTTAAACTTGGTTTATTTTGCTTTGCAAACAGCAATTAGAAGTGAAGTAAACTTAGTAATAATTTGGATTAGCCTTAATGCCTTAAGACCTATTTCTTAGTGTTCCATGGATTCACTGTGCGCGTGCCGAGTCTGTCGCGTGATAGATGCGGGTAACACATGTGCATAACTGCGCCAGCGCCTGGGACTTGCGAACCCGGAGTAAGTTTAGTAGTACCTTGCTAAGCGTCAAGCTCACCTCCACTAACCGTGTGTTACCGCCCCCCTTTTTTTTTTTTTTTTTTTTTTTTTTTTTTTTTTTTTTTTTTTTTTTAACGTGTGGAAATCCCCTCGGACCGTCACCCCTCCGGGGTTTGCGGCGGGGTGGTGTGTCGGACTCGGACCGACTAAAACCACACGGTGTGCCACTCTGCGCCTGTAACAGGAGGGATCCGGGAACAGCTGTTGTTAAGACATCCGGACCCCTCCTAGCGCCAGCCCGCTCCTGGTGCGGGCTCCGTCTCATTGTAGATGTTCCTCTCTTTAGGCGACGTCCGGCACACGCGGACGCCGCCCCCTCGCGGCTGGCCAACTAATGCGGGTGGAGGGGAAACCCACCCCGTCCACCCGCGGCCACACTCAGGGCGGCATGAGGCTGTGGTAGGCGGGCCTCCGCCGCCCGGTTCGCCGGCGGCGGATCGGGTCCGAGTGGAGGTCGTCCTCCCGGGCCCTTTCCGCCGCCTCCTTCCGCGAGATTACTACCTCGCAGAAGGTTGCGACCGCGGTAAAACAACTGTCGCTACCGGCCATGGAGCGTACTACGGCCGGTAGCGAGAGATCCACTCCGATGACTGCAGTGAGGGCCCGGCGCTGCGCCGCCCATGCGGGGCAGACCGCCAGCGTGTGCTGGGCCGAGTCCTCACTGCAGTCGCAGTGGTGGCAGGCGGGACTCAGTTCCCTCCTAGCGACCGTGTGCAGGTACTTTCCGAAGCAACCGTGCCCGGAAAGCACCTGCGTCAGTCGGAAGGAAAGGGTCCCGTGCTGCCGCCCTGCCCACTCGGCGATGACCGGCTGGAGAGCCTCCACGGCGGCGAAGCCAGCGCGTGGAGTCTCCAGCCGGAACGACCAACGAGCCATCGTGGCTCGGCGAGCGGCTTCGCGCCACTCGCGCACATCCTCGGGCGGAGGGCGAAATCCGCTCTCCGCCCGGTAGTCAGCCACTCGCCGATAAACTTCGGCGAGCACTTCCGCCTCCAAATCCCACGGGGGAGTTCCGGCCAACGCGCACGCCACCTCCGTCGAAACGGTGCGGTAACCGCGTATGGCTCTGACCGCCATTACCCTCTGAGGGCGCCAGAGGCGTACCCTATTCTGGGCGGTCAGAGCCGCCGCCCACACCGGTGCACCGTACAGCGCCATTGACCGGACAACCCCCGTGTACAGCCGTCTTGTCGCGACGCTGGGTCCACCCATATTGGGCAAGAGTCGCCCTAGGGCAGACGCAGCGCCGACCAGCTTTGGAGCAAGCTGTCGGAAGTGCTCGTCGGAGAGCCACCTCCCGTCGAGGATCAGGCCCAGATATTTCATCTGGGCCCGAACCGGTACGAGGACCGAGTTGACCACGATGGAGGCGCCAGGGGGTGGACCACGACGGGGCCCATGAAATAACAGGGCCTCCGTCTTATCTAGGGCCACCCGTAAGCCCAGCGCCTCAATGCGCCCGACCACCAGGGAGACTCCCCCTGTGGCCAGGCGCGCCGCCTCTTGGAAGTTTGCCCCCCGGGCTGTCACCAAGGTATCGTCTGCATAACAGATTACACCCAGCCCGGGGGGGAAATCGGCGCGAAGGGCCCAGTCGTACCCTATGTTCCACAAGAGGGGTCCAAGAACAGACCCCTGTGGAACACCGCACGACATGGGCCGACACCTCAAATAACCTTCTCGGTCCTCGTACACGACGGTACGCTCCTCTAAATAGTCTGCCACCAGCCGCCTCAGGTACTTTGGCACCCCATGATAGTGGAGTGCTTCCCTGATGCAGCTGAATGGCAGACTATTGAATGCGTTGGCGATGTCTAATGACACCGCCAACAGCACGCCGCCACAGCTCACGGCCTCTTCGGTCACGGCCCTCAGGCGCAACACGGCGTCGACTGTCGAACGCCCCGCCCGAAAACCAAATTGGGCGTCCGACAGATCGGGGCCCACCTCGCAGAGGTGCCGGACGATGCGGGCAGAAAGAACCCTCTCAAACAATTTGCCCGCCTCGTCCAGCAGCACGATGGGCCTATAGGCCGCGACCGAATCGGCCGGCCGTCCCGGCTTCCTCAATAGGACCAGCTTCCCGCTCTTCCAGCACTCAGGGAAGCGTCCCGACGCCAAGCTAGCGTCGAACACCTCCCCGAGGCGGTCTGCCAAGTGGTTGAGGGCCAGGGCCAGCACTCGGGCCGGTACCCCGTCTGGCCCAGGGGCGGTGTTCTTGGAACGGATCCGTAGAACAGCCGCCCCTACCTCCGAATCCCGGACGGGCGGAACATTTTCCTCCCCGTGCTCCCCGTCGTCTCCGGCCAAGGAGGCCATCGCCGGGGGAGTGTGTTCCGCTCGTTGCGGGAAAAGGCCCTCAACCACTTCTCGCAGGAAGCTGGGCTGGAGAGTCTCCGTAAGGGGGGGGCCCGACGCGCGGAGCTTTTGTCGCACCGCGCGGTAAGGGCGACCCCAGGGGTCACGATTAAGACCCTCCAGCATCTCCTGTCTTTTCTCTTCTTTGGCGCGGCTAATGGCCAGCTTCAGAGTTTTCCGCGCCCGTCGGTACTCCTCATGAAGCCGGTCCTCCTCACCGTCTCCACGGTGACGCCGCCGACTGCGCGTGTAGGACCTCCGGGCACGTGTACAGGCCGCACGGAGGTCCGCCAGCTCCTGGGACCACCAGTAGACCTCCTTCCTTGGAGGCCGACGACCTCGAACGCGGGGCATGGCCGCATCGCATACATGCGTAATCGCATCGCGAAAGCGGCCAGCCCCCACGTCGACCTCCTCGGTCGGAGCCTGAGGAGACAGCCACGAGTGAATTATGGCTGCCTCCTCTAGTAGGTCCAAACGACCAAAGGTCCAACAAAAAGAAGGATGCTATTTTAAGTTTAACTTGTATATTTATTTGAGCTATTGACTCAATCAGATCAGCCTCATAGTCTTTAAAGGAATATGAGTAACTGTTACTTTGAGTACTGCTAACTTTGAGTCTGGGGTATTTTGAAAGAGTTGACAACGGTAACAATTGAAGTCACCCCGTGGTATAAAAATACAAATACAAATTACATACATATGTATGCAAAATGTACCGACACACCCATACCTACGAAGTGTGTCTTTTATGGCCGATGGGGCA